GGCAACTACTAAGAACAAAAAGGCTGAAACTGAAAACTACTCTCCCTTCAGAATTATTTGCGATATTTTTTCTATGCTTTTTTTTTTTTTCTACTTTCTTGTAAGAGAAGCATTATTCTTTATGTACCAATTTCTTCCTTATATACTAATACAGTGTAACCTGGATATAAGAGACCCGGATATAAGAGAAACCCGGATATAAGGGAGATTTTCTCTGGTCCCAAATTTGAACCATACTTACCTAAACATAATAGACCAAACCTGGTTTTAAGAGAAACCCGTATATAAGTGACTTCTTCTCCGGTCTCGACAACTCTCTTATATCCGGGTTACACTGTACATAAATTCTTCTTTGGACACGAATCGACTTGTTCATATTTGATTTTTCTCTGCCCCGCCTGATTCTCACCCCAACGAACTTGCAGTTAGACCAGGTGAATCTTCTGGCATCTACGATTTTTTAAATGCTCTCCAGGATCAAAAAAAATCACATCGTGACTGGAAAGTGGAATCGAATCGACATTGTGAACCGGAGACTTTGATTGAACCTGTAACACTGGATCGGAACAGGACCAACGGCTGGTCTTGTAGAGTACATCGATCCAGTGGGATCAGGATAGGTGCTACAAACGAACACACCTTGCCACTTTTGTGATGTCAACGAATATTCGTTGACACGTTCATAGTGCTCGTTGTAGTAGACTATATAATCGCAGATACAACTATAGTAACACCGTTGAACAATACCCGGTATCAGACGCCTTTGAATAGCACTCGCACTCATAGTACTTGCTCAATAATACTCGCTCAAATAGTAATCCGTATAGTGGTCCAAATAGAGAAATAGTATCGTGAATAGAGTAGAGAATAGCGTTCCATATAGTAATAGAGGATAGAGCAGAAATAGCAATTGTTTAGATGTCACGCTACTTTCTACTTTTGCGTTTCTCCCCTAGTCACGTATTCTACTTAATTTAATTAATTCTTCAGGTGGTTGGAATGTCGAACTGAACCCTTTATTTCGCTCGCTGGGGTAGACTGTTCTAGTTCCACGTGACATGTCTAATGGATGTAAGTTATCAGTTATATCCTGGTTAATACCCCTCTCCAAGTTCTCCACCGCCTTCACCAGGTATTGAACTCACGCTCTTTGGTTCCTGTCACTCGATCCAACTAACGTCTTTATCCACTGTGCCATGTGCCTTTGAGGACATCTGTGTATGAAGAAGAAGGCCGGAGCGTACAACGGCCAAAACGTTGTGATAAATATGGCAACAAAGATGAGAACAATAGTCCATATAATGTAAATAGTGTACATAATACCTCATCTCAGAAATATAGACAGATACTGAAGGGCCGAAACGTTGTAATAAATATAGCAACAAAGATGAGGACAATAGTCCGATTAATGTAAATAGTGTACATAATACCTCATCTCAGAAATATAGGCAGATACTGAAAAGCCGAAAGTTTGAAATAAATATGGCGACAAAGATAATGACAATAGTCCGAATAATATAAATAGTGTACGTAATACCTCATCTCAGAAATATAGACATATACTGAAGGGGTGAAACGTTGTAATAAATATGGCAACAAAGATGAGAACAATAGTCCGAATAATGTAAATAGTATGCAGAATCCAGTTAGGAAACTGAAACGGGCTGTCGCTCTCTCGGTTATAATTTCGTGTGGTGCCTTCTGTAGCATGTCCGTAATGTGTAGCCCTCTTCATTCGCTGTTTCATCCGTCGAGATCTGCTGTAATCGTCATCCGCTAGTACCATCGCTGGGGTCTTTGGGGCTGGTTGCGCTTAGTCTAGGTCCTCGACTTCGAGCTTGCCGCCAAAGGTGACTCGACAAGGTGTTTAGAACTCCCGACAGCATCGTTGTCAGAGTCATTAGACCACCCAAGCACTTCAACCACGACAAGGAGCGATCATCAAAGAATGATACACAATTTCGTGGAACATTCCTGTAGCGAAGAAAACGGCGAATTACCCTTGTCAATCTAAGCGACAGCGTGTCGTGTGTATTCTACGACGGAAAATGTGGTGTAAAAAAAGTTACTTACCCAGAAAAGGGACACGTATTCTGCATAAAAACAAGTCAATCGCAGGAGTCACCATAAAAGTTGTGGAAAATTTGTCCCGACTTTCAAAGGGTTGAGGTTAAAAATGCGACAAAATTGAAAAAATTAGCAACAACGGTTTAAAAGATTAGACTCAAACTCCTGCTCGGTGTGTAACAATAAAAGAAGAAATTGTTTATTTACAAGCACACAAAAAAGGAGTAAAAAGATATACAAGAGAAAGAAAAGGTGAAGAAAATTCCGTTAATATTAAAGGAAGAAAAAATGTTCATAAAAAAGGCTTGCTCAAAATATTTCTCTGTGCGCCTAAAAAGTTCTGTAAGCGAGTAGATTGTTGTTAAGGGCTAAAACACTCACAGATATCTTCAGAGTTCTTGTAGAGGGGGAAACTGTCAGAAGATACGAATTTTATAGTTGAGTGAGTTCGTAGGCCGACGACAGAAATCTTCTAGTTGCAAGGAAGCAGATCTCAATTGGTTTTTAGTAGTGGGCTGGCATTCTGTCTTTACAGTCCAGCAGGTAGATCTTTCTTGAAAGTGGTTTCAAAGACGACTGGTGTTCTGTCGCCGACCTAATGTTATCACAGACGGTTGTCGAATAGTCACTGCCAAATAGGCGAAGATTCCCCGTATTTATGGAAATTAGGAGGCTGAGAAATATTGGGGACTTTTCCCTCTAAAATTGCTATACAAATTTCCTGACACCTTCATTGATTAGAAAATATATTATTTCTGATAAGAACCAAGGTTTTGGGATATGCTTTTCGGAATCAAGGGTCCGACAAGCTGTGAGTGTTACCCCCAGACTTTTTGGAACCATGGACAGGATAATGGTAATCAAATTCCTTTTTATATTCTCCAGCTCTGTCGTTTGTTAGAAAATATATTCTCATCTCTGATACGAATCAAGGCTTTGGGAGCCGGATTTGAAAGCAGAAGAAAAAGTTGAGGTAAGGATTGGAAAAGAGGCTAGAACGTGAACTTGTAAAATATTGTTGTCGTGGTTCCGAAATTAAATTCCTATAAAGTATTTCGGATATGCTAATATTATGTGCCTCCTCCCAGTTGTCGACGAATGAAGAAAATGATCCGTCGATAAAAATCGTACATTTGGCTACGGCGTTCATCGCTGAGTAATTTGTGACATTTGACCTGCTAATCGAGATATCAACATTTCATTCTTTCCTTGATATTCGAGTTTCGACTTAAGATTTGTTTTTTTCGTTGTGGAAGGAATCTGGGACAAATATTTCCTTTGCAATCCAAGAACTCTTACAGAAACAGAACTGAATAATGAAATGGAAAGAATTGAAAGCGCCAGACGACTCTTAAATCAGATGACCTTTTAAAAGATAATATTACTTATGGCGTACCATAGTTAAAAATTGGGAACGTCTATACACTAACACTTTTTAATTTTTAAAATATATTTACGGTACAAATGATTGTTATGAGGTTTTCAATTTTTGATTCGTAAATTTACTTTTCATTTAACAATATCACAAAACAGCCGCTTCAAAGAAATGCAGAATATTAAATGATTTTTTATTCTTCTAAATTATTTAATTAAAATTTTTAAAAATAAAAACAATTCTTGTAAAAATTAATTATTCATCGAAAAAGATTTTCTCCTTAAGAAAATAGTGTCCTTAATAAATCTTATTTATCAAAGCAATTAAAAGCTTTTCTAAATAAATAATTTAATAGTTTTATTGCATTTTTTAATTTAAAATTTAGAGCAGATTTTCGGTGAAAGAGGTAACTGTTTTGCAAAAATCTTATTAACTAGGACAGTCAATGAAGACCAGGCCCTCACACTTTACCCCAGGTCTTGTGCCACAATTCTCTATGTTACAGAGTAAATATCAAAACAAATTTCAGCGTTCGTCGGAGAGAGTCTTATTTTTTTGATTACGTGCATTGTGATTTTTGTGACATAGGACCTGCGAATCGAGATTTCGATATTTCTATCTGTCCCTGATATTTAAGTTTCGACTTGAGCTTTGTTTTCTTCGTAATGGAAGTAATCTGCGACATCAATTTCTGAACAGGAACTTTAGTTTGAGAACAAAAAATTCGACTATATGTCTGTGCACATAAAAACATAAAAACACACATATATACTTTTTACATTGAATGTTGGAGTGACCAGTTCAACATCATCAAGAAGAAAAAGAAGAAGAATAAAAGTTATCAGAAACATGAAAGAACTTTTATCATTGTTATTGCTAAAAAAACACTAAACCAAAAAAAAAAACATTTAAGAAAGTGTATCGGCTGTAATAAAAAGTAAATATTAGTTTAACTAATTTTTGTAGTTTAATAAAAAAAATCTAAAAAAAAATGAATTCACGGATTTGGACTAAACAAAAAAAAAAAACACAGAATGATGTCACAAACCACGAAATTTTATCACCCTTTAATAGTTTATTAATTTGTAACGTATAATTATTGGTAGGAAAAAAAGCAACTATTGATACGATAGCGAGGGTCAGAAATCACTGCCCCGGGTCCCCAATCAGGCCACTCGGGGTTTCGGAAGTAGTACGCGCGGCCCTGTTTAAATTTGTTTGTCATTCTGAATTTCTGAAATGTATTTTTTTGTAAGAAGTAAAAATTATTTTTACAAAAACTAATTAATTAATCCTTAAATTTACTATTTTTTCTCAAAACAAATGTCTGGAAAAATACTGTGTTTTTATGAGATTTTTAAAGAGTTTTAATTTTCTTTTCTTTCTTTTTTTTTTTTTTTTTTTGTGTGTGTGTGTTCATCAAATTCGCTAATCGAACTAGGCGGAAGTGAGTTTTTTTAAACATTGTTGTTTAAAAATGTCCGAAAAGTTTGTCTTTATCTCTGAGATGATGTTGTTGCAGCGGGCCGAGAGGTGTGAGTGCCAATCGACCATACAACTAAAATAGGGGACACAAAGGCAAGGAGATGGCAATAGCAAAGAAGGATGACAAACGCAGATGGTCCGTTGTAGACGATGGAAATCGTGTCTTTATTTGCGAACGGTGGATGGTAAGACGACAGAGGTCGTTTGTTCGGGAACGGTGTCCGGACGATAACGGGCGCTGGACGTCAGTGGGCACTGGATTAGGTCGCGGGTTGTCAGTCTGAGCGCCGCAGGGGTGAGCTGGAGGCTGCAGGAGTGCTGGAAGCTGTTGGAGTGAGCTGGAGGCTGCAGGAGTGCTGGAAGCTGCAGGAGTGCTGGAAGCTGCAGGAGTGAGCTGAAGGCTGCAGGAGTGCTGGAAGCTGCAGGAGAGAGCTGGAGGCCGCTGGAAGCTGTTGGAGTGAGCTGGAGGCTGCAGGAGTGCTGGAAGCTGCAGGAGTGAGCTGAAGGCTGCAGGAGTGCTGGAAGCTGCAGGAGAGAGCTGGAAGCTGCAGGAGTGCTGGAAGCTGCTGGAGTGAGCTGAAGGCTGCAGGAGTGAGCTGAAAGCGGTAGGAGTGCTGGAAGCTGCAGGGGGGATCTAGGTATGACGGTTCATACAAGAGAAAGCGGTGACGCTAAACAAGTAAATGAATATAATTAATTCCGGGCCGTATTATTTACAGTCGAAAGTGTGTTCGGTGTTTGGTGACTGTATTTAAATTAATTTCGGTTCGAAATTAAAGGTCTTTTATTTTTGTTTAGTGGCGAAAATTGAGTTTTGTGTGTTTCTGACAGTTTGAAAGGATGTCGTTGCTATTTTTTAGCACACAAGGGTCGTGACCTTTCTCTACCGGCAGGCATAGCCGGGGTTGTTTAAGAAAAGGTGGGAGTGGTGTTTGGGCACACTGCGACAATGTATTATGATTACTTGCAGTACATTATTCTGACTGTTATCCTCATCTTCATTGCCATATTCACAACGTTTCGGCCGCTGTACACTCCGGCCTTCTTCAGGTGATTTGAATTTCGACTCGAACCCTTTATTTCATCCACCGGAGTAGATTGTTCTAGTTCCACGTGACATGCCTCTACCGGGTGTGTCAGTTATTTCCTTTTAACGCAACTCTTCAAGTTTTGGTTCACCTCAAGGACACATAACCCAGTGGATAAAGACGATGGTTAGATCCAGTGACTAGACCCAAAGAATTGTGAGTTCAATACCAGGCCACAGCAGTAGTGAACCAAAACTTGGAGAGTATTGAGTTAAAGGGGAAATAACTGAGACATCCGGAAGAGGCAATGTACGTGGGTGGACGAAAAAGGGTTCGGTTCGAAATTCTAATCACCTGAAGAAGGCCAGATCGTACAACGGCAGAAACGTTGTGAATAATGAAAATGAGGATAACAGTCCGAATAAGTGCAAAATGTTATTTAAAAATATTTTCTTTGTTACTATCTTTCAAATAAAACCACAATTTAACCTAAAGGAAGACATTTAAAATTTTGTTTTATTTTGTTTTGCTTCTTTCGTTTTGTTTTTTGGTTTTTTTTGTTTGTTTTGCCTTTTTTTTTTGTTTTGTCTTTTCCTGTTTTTTTTTTGTTTGTTTCGTTTGTTGTTTTGTTTTGTTTTTTGTTTTTTTTGTTTTGTTTTTTTGTTTTTTTTGGGGGGTAGCATTTTTAGAATGTCCGTGGAGGAATTAATTCGAAAGAAGACTTTTCTGAAATAGAAGACCTTCTTGAAAGAGGTGAAGACGTGGTTGTTGTAGGAGGCGGGGGGGGGGTCATTAAGGGAGACAATCACTTACTCTTCGAATCGAGAAATGAGTTACCTCCCTTTGTTTCCGTCTTGTCTTTTCTTTGCATTAGAGATGACGTTAAGATGTCGTTTCATTCACCTTTCATGAGATTCGTGCAAATAATATTAATAACGTTAATATTTTCTTCTTCTAATTCACATCAAAGTTTAGAAGGCTTCCTAGTCGACGGACGGAAAAGTTGATCTTCACTTGTGTCAGGTAAATCGTATTCTCTTTTTCCTTCGGGGATTTTTTAAATTATTTCAAAAATTTCATGGATTTATTTTGCTTTTTAAATCTATTTCAGTTTTAATTTCATGAATTTATTTCAAATTCTTTTTATTCGACTCCATTTACTTGATTTTTTTGTTTGTTCGTGGCTCATATTAAAATTTCGAATGTACCTTAAAAATTAAAGCATTTTATTTTTCAACACTACGCGATAATTTTATATTTTCATTTTTAAAATAAAAAGAGAAAATTGAGATACTTTTTAAAATAAATTAAAATAAAAATCATTTTTTTTCTTCATGTCCTTCCGTACTGTTTACTTTTTACAACAAATGTTTTTAATACAAATTAAAATGATTTTTCCCCTCACTCATAAAAAAAAATCATTATTTTTGGCACTGTAGTCAGTAGTGTAATTGTTCAAAACAAAATATGCTAATCATTTTTAATTACCATTTCATTTATAGTAATTAAAAAAAATATTAAAATTATTTTTTTCTTTCTGTAAATCTGGAGTGCTTTAAGTTTAAAGTATGATAAAAAAACAAAAAAAACAAAAAAAAACAAACAAATCCAGGTAACAAAATTCGGAAGTCTTTTTATTTTTATTTTTTAAAAGATTTCAGAAATCACGTGTGACTACGTGCGGACTATTATCGTTAACTTTATTGTTATCACAGTATTTCGGCCGTTCTGCCCTCCGGCCTTCCTAAGTTATGTAACGAGATGATCATGATAATAACAACAAAGATGAGGACATTAGTTCTCAAAGTCTGACTCTTTGAGGAATTTCTTGAGTTATTTGCGAGAGTCATCATATATGTGTATAATTTGACTGTTCAGGCGGGTGGGGGTCAGGCTAAGCAACGTACTTACCTGGGTTGTTGTTTCTTACTAACTAAAAAGTGGTTACGTTTTTACGAACTTTTTATGGTTACAGAAGTCACGTGACTTTATTACCACGTGATACCAGAAGTATTAATAAGAGAAATCCCCACCCCACTTTTTGATTCTTCTTTTTACTTAATGCAAGTTATTAATTAGACGGTCATGTTAGGAACTTATTTCACAACTAAAGGTTTCTGCTTTTTTTCTTTGGCCTGAACCATCTCTAGATTTTTTAGGGTTGAGATTTTATTTTTTTTCAATATTAATAATATTCTTTCTTAATATTTTTAATATTGAGCACTATATATAAAAATATCAGCTGTTTCTTTAGTCTTAAATCACATATATATAAAGCAATATAGTCTTACACTAGTGTGCTATATTTATGGGATAAAGTGCTAGAGCATGTGTAAATATAAAAGTGAACATTGAAGTCAACACTTAGAGGTGACAGTTTGTTTCATGCCAGAGGCAATCGTCACTTTTATATATATGTATATATATATATATATATATATATATATGTGTGTGTGTCTTTGTATATATGTGTGTATATATATATATATATATATATATATATATATATATCTGACGATTGCACCTAGCATGACACAGTCTGTCACCTCTGAGTGTTGACTTCAACGTTCAATTTTATATTTACATTTACATACGCTCTATCTCTGATATTGAACACTTTATCCCCTAAATATGGCACACCTTAAGACTATATTTCTTTATATATATGTATAAAATATATTCAGTTGAAGATCAAATATAGAAAGTAACTTTATACTTCTTGGTTTTGTATTTCCACTGATGTAAAATGGAATGATTATTTTTGTTCTGTTGCTAAGTCTGCTGCTAGGAAAGTTGGTTTTTACAATGTCATGCGAGACAATTTTTATCTTGACATACTCTATCTTACATATTTATAAGTCTACCATCCGTCTGAGCATTAAATATTGTAGTTGCATCTGTTCAAGTGCCTCAAATACATATCTAGAGATTCTTAGCCTGGTATCCTGACTTCAATCAGTCCTCCACTGCCAACACGTAGCTTCATTGTGTCTTTCTTATAAATATTTTCATGAGAATTGTTATGGTGAACTTAGTACCTCGACTTATGAATCTAAACATAGTATTAGATTGGCATGTAAGTTTGATATTGCTTAATATTAGTGTAAGTTTACTTTTATCCACTAAAGTCTTCTCGTTTTCTTTCACTCCCTGTAACTCCCAGCTGCATCCTAGTGGCATTATCGTTTTCAGTTAACATGAAGTGGAATGACTATTTGTTCTGTTGCAAAATCCGCTGCTAGGAAAGTTGGTTCACTATTAATAAATGTTGACTAATTTTTGTTCTTCTCTCCTCAGAACACAATTGGGGAAAAAAAAGCAAATGCTCACCAAAAAATAAAAAAGAAAAAATTTTATAAATGATAATTGTTTTTTAAATCATTTGAGACGACCCTTTTTATCTTTCATCAGTATGGCTGATGCTAACCAACAGGAAAGTTACACATTGTGCCTTCTCAGGCTAACGTTTTCTGCTGACGTAAAGTGCAAAGATTATATTGAATCAATTGATAGATCAGCTCTTAGGAAAGTTAGTTCATTATGTTGTGCTAGACAGTTTTTCTCATCAGAATCTATCTTACATATTTACAAGTCTATATATGATGTAATGGAATAACTGTTACCCCCATGAGTAACTACACTATAGGTATCTGTTGAGTACGACTCAGACTTAGACAAAAACTACCAACCATCCAATAGCAGCACTTACTACTGGATTGACTTGTGGCGACCATGCACATAACTGTTACCTTATTTCTTAGTATACTGGTTTCTACAATAAACCTTTACTTATTTTATCCACCATGTTTTTCAAGTACATATTCCTATTAGCACAGAATATAACTATATTAAGAAGAAGAGTGAAGCCGCAAACATTTTTGGTTATAATGTGGGTTTTTTTAAACATATACTATACTTTATTTTCCATATTTTTGCTACACGGGTTTCCAGTCTTTTGAGCTTCATCAGGCAAAAAAGTGGTTATTTCATATTATTAAAAGAAATTAATTTTCCTCATGTTTCCTAATGTTCAACCATTGTTTTTGTGTGTAGAAGTAATGTCATTTCAGCTGAATTGCCTTTATAAAGTGTTTATAAGTCATTTGTTCAACATACAGCTTAGTGTTGAATATTTGGCTGTTTTGGATCATTTGCTATCATTCTGTCAGTAATGAAGTCATTTCCGTTCACAGCACAAATGACTCAAGCATTAAAATCAAAGCAAAGATGATGTCGGACGGACATGTTCATTCTTGCCTACTTGGCATTCCATCTCAAAAGGGTGTCTATTCTAAAATAAAATTTCAATAACATTAAACAACAGTTTCCCAGGATGACCAGAGTTAGTAAGAAGCCAAAAATGCCATAGAAGATTATTTTTTGAGATCATTCCCAGAACATCAGAAAAAAAAACAATGAATATATATATATATATATATATATATAACAACCTAATGTATATAAATAAACTGAGATAAGTACATAGATAGATCTGAACAGAGACTTATATATATATGAACAGACTTGGATAAATAGATAGAAACAGATTGAGATTGATATAAACAAAGACATATCCATTGGCTGTTTATAGAATATTTTCTCAGTTTATCCTGATCCATCTATCAATGGATCCATTTTATTGCTAGATGGATAGATATATAGATATAAAATTTGAATAACATTAGACAACAGTTTCACAGGATGACAAAAGTTAGTAAAAAGTAAAAGATACCATGAAAGGCTATTCTTTGAAATCATTCACAGATGATCAGGAAAAAAATGAATGAAGATATCATGTGTAACAACTTAAAAAAATATAAACAGACTGAGAAAGACATGAACACAGATTGCTAGATTGATAGATAGATAGATAGATAGATAGATAGATAGATAGATAGATAGATAGATAGATAGATAAGAACTGACTGATTGATAGATAGATAAGAACAGACTCAGATATGTAGATAGATAGATAACAGACTAAGATAGATAGATAAGAACAGACTGAGATAGATAGATAGATAGATAGATAAGAACAGACTCAGAACGGTAGATAGATAGATAGATAGATAGATAGATAAGAACAGACTCAGAACAGTAGATAGATAGATAGATAAGAACATAGATAGATAGATAGATAGATAGATAGATAAGAACATAGATAGATAGATAGATAAGAACAGACTCAGATGGGTAGATAGATAGATAGATAAGAACATAGATAGATAGATAGATAGATAGATAAGAACATAGATAGATAGATAGATAAGAACAGACTCAGATGGGTAGATAGATAGATAGATAAGAACATAGATAGATAGATAGATAAGAACATAGATAGATAGATAGATAAGAACAGACTAAGATAGATAGATAAGAACATAGATAGATAGATAAGAACAGACTGAGATAGATAGATAGATAGATAAGAACAGACTGAGATAGATAGATAGATAGATAAGAACAGACTGAGATAGATAGATAGATAGATAAGAACAGACTGAGATAGATAGATAGATAGATAGATAGATAAGAACAGACTGAGATAGATAGATAGATAAGAACAGACTCAGATAGATAGATAGATAACAGACTCAGATAGATAGATAAGAACATAGATAGATAGATAGATAAGAACAGACTGAGAGAGATAGATAAGAACATAGATAGATAAGAACAGACTAAGATAGATAAGAACATAGATAGATAGATAGATAAGAACAGACTGAGATAGATAGATAGATAGATAGATAAGAACAGACTGAGATAGATATGAACAGAGATAGATCAATGCATATGAACATATATAGATATGAACAAAGACTTATCAACAGAACAAATATATGTAACAACTTAATAGTTTATGAAAAAGCATCCAATACTGTTCAATTTTTTTTGTGTTACTTAAAATTTATTTTTTTCCTTATTCTTATTCCTTGCATTTTATTTTTCTCTCTTCCAGGTGAATCACCAAATGTGACATCAGAAGTAAGCCAATTTCAAATGGTTTCGAAATTGCTCCGGCTTAGCGCCAGATATGGGACGACGGTCCTTGTCTGCGGCCTCTTTGTTTCTCTCAGTTTGATTATCTGTCTGTCTTTATGCTCCATGCAATGTGACACACCTTCAAGCCGGCATTGTATGGCAGAAGTCCTTTCCCTACAGAACCAGATCCTTGTAAAGAAGGTAGTAGAGACTGCCCCACAACAATCCGTATCTTACTTCTTTGTTGTCCTTATCATGTCAAGTCCAAACAGCCATAGTCAGCGGGACCTTCTTCGGACAACATGGCTAAGTAAAATCCCTGAAGATGTTCTGGCTAAGTTTGTGATCGGTACTGCCAGGCTTGATCCAGAAAAGGTTCAGGAGCTTGAGCAAGAACAACTGGAGCATCATGATCTTTTATTACTCCCCACACTGACCGATTCCTACAAAAATCTCACAATGAAACTGCTGGAAAGTTTCATCTGGCTGAATGCCAACATCAATTACAAGTATGTACTGAAAACAGACCAAGACACCTACGTGCAGGTTCACGAGCTGAAAACGATCCTACAGAAATCCGGGTCGCAGCGTGTCTACTGGGGTTTTTTTGATGGACGGGCTCACGTAAAAAAACAAGGCAAATGGCTTGAAAAAAACTTTGTTCTCTGCGACCGTTACCTGCCCTATGCTGTCGGGGGTGGTTACATCATCTCCTCAGACCTTGTCCGCTACATTGCCCAGAACTGGCGTCTTCTTCAGCGATTCCACAGCGAGGATGTGTCTGTTGGGGTGTGGCTGGCTCCGTTGGAAATCAACCGTATTCATGACCCACGTTTTGACACTGAGTTTGTGTCGCGAGGCTGTAACAACCAGTACCTTGTGACGCACAAACAATCACCCGGGGATATTCGTGACAAACACAATTATCTGATGATGACGGGGAAACTCTGTCGAAACCAATTTCAGAAACGTCTTTCGTATATTTATAACTGGAATGTTCCTCCCACAAAGTGTTGTGAAAGAAATAACAATACAGTCCCATAGCTGGAACCAATAAGATTTTGGTAAGCAACAATAAATAAACTCACCTTGGGGGTGAGAGGGGAGATATGTCTGCTATGCTAAGATGGCCAAAAAGTAGGGGTTTATTTTTTGTCTTTCATGTTTTTTTTAATGTATTTGATTGAAAAATGAAACACTTGTTAATATACACTTAATGTTTTTCATTCCAAAAAAGCCTTTCCTGGTGCAACACAATCTTCTGGTAAATTTGAACGTGTCAGTCAAGAACAAATTATTCATTCATCAGGCATGTTGCAGTTTCCTATCAGCCAATTTATAGAGTTTTATGATAGTTGCTAAACTTAGGCTAGTACAAGGCACAATCTTGTAAGAAGATTGTATTGCACCAGTCTTTCAAAAGAGGAAGGCATGCCTGTCATAATATTTACTAAGCTTATATTTACTAAACAAAGCATAATTTGATATGAAGATTGTGTTGCACCAGTCTTTCAAGTAGGATGGGCCTGCCTGCTTTGAAATTTGCTAAGCTTGGCTTAGTTTAAAATAAAGCATAATTTGATAGGAAGATTGTGTTGCACCAGTCTTTCAAGTGGGATGGGCCTGCCTGCTTTGAAATTTGCTAAGCTTGGCTTAGTTTAAAACAAAGCATAATTTGATAGGAAGATTGTGTTGCACCAGTCTTTCAAGTAGGAAGGTCCTTCCTTGCATTCATATTTACTGAACTTAGCTTAGGATAAAACAAAGAAAATTTTGATAGGAAGATTGTGTTGCATCAGTTTCTCAAGTAGGGAGGTCCTGCCTGCTTTAATATTTACTTAGTCTAAAACAAGCCAAGATTTGATAGGAAGATTATGTTGCACCAGTCTTTCAAGTGGGGAGATCCTAGCTGCTTTGATATTTACTAAGCTTGGCTTAGTATAAAACAAAATTTTGATAGGAAGATTGTGTTGCATCAGTTTTTCAAGTATGTAGGTCTTGCCTCTCATGATATTTACTAAGCTTAGTTAAATCTAAATCAAAGCATAATTTGATAGGAAGATTGTGTTGCACCAGTTTTCAAGTTGGGAGGTCCTTGATTTAGTAAGCTTAGTTTAGTGCAAAACAGATTTGCTAAGATTGTTTGCTGCTTAAAAATCTGTATTCAAAATTTTTGTGTTTTTTATATTTACTAAGATTTGTGTTTCCTTCATGCTGTTGACCATGGATAAGGCATGAATCTATTGTTCCCTCCTATAACTATGATAAATATTAGGGCAAGCTCAGCTCTTTAGCCTTGGTTGGCAACCAATCAATGTAGCAGAAGGAAACTTCTGAATTCAAAGCTGTAGAGAAAGTGACAAGGAAACCACTCTACTATTTATCCCAAGAAGTTATGTCAATTTACAGTTAAAGGAAACCATGGAGAGTCATAACCACCTACCTCATGAAGAGACACTGTATTACACAAGTAGTTTGGGTTAATCTTTTACAAGGTCAAATAAGGTTGGAAGATTATGTAGCACCAATCTTTTACATGTCTGCTTTCATTGAAAGTCAGCATTTTAAACTCCTACATTTTGGAATGAGAACAGTTTGTGGTGCAGTAATCTTGAAAGTGGAGAGGTAGACAACCTTGGAAAATCTGCTTTTGAAATCCTACAATTTACAAAACTTGGCCCTCCTACCATCTGCAGGAAATGTGCAACTGTCTTCGCCCTGAGGCAGGGGATAACATTGTGAATAACTCTTCTCTAAGCAGATTCCTCATATATTCTATAATCTGACTACCAAAAGAAAACATTTCCTCCCTTCATTTTTCTTCCACCCTTCTTTGGATTCTTGTCTTTCTAATAACGGTAGATCACCAATTTTCTGACTATTGATGGCCTACCATCTCTTTGAATCCAGGCAATATTAGGCCGGTCAAAATAAATAGGCATCTCAAAAGACAGTTTATTTCTTATTCTGGACAACCATTCAAGAGATCCGAGAGATGAACTACTGTGTAAGCCTAATGCAGTGGTTCCAAAAAGTTTTCTAGCTCTGGGGCCACATCCTAAGCATCCCCCTCCCACACTGATATGAAGGTACTATTTTTCTTATCAGGTATACTACAAATTTAAGCCAACTAATCTAACACCAGATGAATATCCATAGCTATATCACTCTATTAACAGACTTAGAGCATTGGCCCTTGCAGACATTTGCTGTCCGATTAAGTTTGCATGTGGTGTGTCCTGTCCAGTTAACAAAGGACAAACATTTGGACTTTTACTTCAGACAACCAAATAAAGTAATAAAATTATGAGTCTGTGTATAAGTATTTTTTTTTAATCATTTCACCCCAAGCAAAGCATTAAAGCCACTAAGACATAAGGGGTTACGAGTGTTGGAGAATACAAGAAAAATATATTATTTAGTAGGGAAGACAATAAAAGAAGACTTGATACTGTTTGACATTGCATTTAAATTTTTGAACATCATAGTTGACAGGGAAATAAGTTTCACAAGTGGGAAGTGCAAGAGAAAAAGTTAGCATAGAATTTACGGTTACATCTATCCATTTCAACTGTAAAAGGAAGATACCTTGTCATCAGTCTAGTTCTGTGCTTAAATTCATACAGTCTAGGTACCATAATGAAGCGCTCAGTTACCATGAAAGTATTTCTAGAAAAAGCAAAGAGAAGCTACAAGTGGAAAACTGACTAAAGCCAAGATGCCAGGTCAGGACCAATATCATTGCAGATTGTTCTTTGGATTTTATCAAGGATCTCTAAATGCATAGCAGGAACACCAGACCAGATATGGCAGCAATATTTAATGCATAGAGGAATGGTAGACTTATAAATATTTAAGATAGATTCTGATGCAAAAAAATTATCTTGCACAACATATTCAGTTAATTTTCCTAGCAGCAGACCTAGCAATTGATTCAATATAATCTTTCCGCTTCACATCAAGAGAAAATGTTCATAAGAGAAGGTTCAATGAGTCATTCTCCTAGAGGTTAACATGAGCCATGCTGATGAAAGGTAAAAAGGTTTATCTCAGACATTTAAAAGAGAAAAGTTTCATTTTGGAGGAGTTAAAATTAACAAGCCTTTCCTTGCTCCAGTTAACAACAAAAAGTATATCATTTTTGAGATCAGCTTCTAATTTGACCTTATCAACCTGCTGAAACTTATTATTAAGACAGGAATAAATGGTTGTGTCATCTACATAGATACTAATTTTACATATACATAAAATGACTGCATAGAGGTGAAGACATTACAACTTCTCCTACTAGACAGACACACATACACAATTACAAATACACATTACAATCTAATGCCGGCTTAAAATACAAGAATCTTTACAATTTTACATATAGAATTATCTAGAGTTTTAATGCACATGATACACAACTGACCAATGAGAATCAACCCAAACAAAATTGAAAATACCAAAGTTCTGTCTTTTTGTCTGTTTTCTCTCAATCTCTGATGAAGCTTTAATAAAAGTGAAACACGTCAGATTGATATACTTTTCCTATTTGTTCTTTATTGTATCATCCTGTCAGATGTTGATCCATATTTGATCTTTAAATCATATACATATATATTTACTTCCTTCTAAACACTTTTTTTCTCTCTCTCTCTCTCTCTCTCTCACATGTAAGCACCAGGAATTTTCCATGTGAACCATGAAACTTTTGATTTCACCACAACCTTCTATATAATTACATTAGGATAAGAAAGATATATTTTGTGTTTTTCAATATAACACAATACAAAGCCAATATACACCCAAACCAACTATCCCAATATATAACACAAAACCAAAATACACCCAAACCAATTATCCTGATATATATATATATATATATATATATATATATATATATATATATATAAAGAAATATAGTCTTAAGGTGTGCTATATTTATGGAATAAAGTGCTCAATATCAGCGTGTGTAAATATAAAAGTGGACATAGAAGTCAACACTTAGAGGCGACAGTCTGTTTCATGCTATATGCAATTATCAGGCCACATATGCTGTTATTTTTCTCTGCTATTTATATATATACGGGTTAGTGGTGCATTGTGGGTATTCTATTATGGCGGTTATTTTACCGGAAGTCGTTTGTTTATTTATTTGGGTCAAATTATATTTTTTATATTTTTTATTTTTTTGTTTCTTATTTTATTTATTTATTAACGTAGTAAAATTTTGTTTATATCACTTATTTAACAGTTCTGTTGTGGTTTGAGAATTTAATTAAATCAATTTTGGGGTTGGTTGTTGTAGTTCATTCTAACTATTATTTTTTTGGTGGGAACAGTTTTTAATTTGGGATTGGTTTGTCTATTTATTTACTTGGATGAATTTAGGTCAATTTATTTTACTTGTATATTTTCTTTTTTCGGTTTTCGTTTTTTAAGCAACATAGTGTTGACATAGACGCTATGTTGCATATAGCATGTTGCATATAGCATGAAACAGACTGACTTGTTGACTTCTATGTTCACTTTTATGTATGTATATATATATATATATATATATATATATATATATATATATATACTAGCAGCATTTTACGTTATATTCGTATTTGATTCAAAAATCATACAACTCATACAGCAATGATAGCTATCACTTGACTTAAAATATTTTTACCCTTCCTTGCTTTTAAAGGAGTGCCCTTTGCCGTGCTGATGTTGCTACATGCCTTACTTCTTACCTATCTCACACTGAGAATTTTTTCTAAGCTCTATACTAAACATTAAATCTGTTACAAAAAAAGAACTAAACAAAATGATCAGCTTTAAAAAAAGGATCCGTAACTGGAAAAAAACGAATGGAAAAAAAAAGTTAACAACATACTTTTTCACACCCAACCCAGTTCTGTGTAATCAAAATCAACACTGAGTTTAAGCAAGCGAATGCGCCAATTGGAGTAAAGTGCCATGTAGATTTAAATTTTTCCCACTTGTGATGAATGCAACTATCAATTTTTTTTGCATGCTAGCTAACATTCATGTCAGTCAGCTGTTGGCTC